GGGTTTGGGGTTTTTTTTTTTCCAAAGACGATTTGTAGGAGCGGCCGTGTGCTGCAGGAGAGCAAAATACCCCCAGCACGTTGTGTAACGTCCTGTCCTCTGGCAATGGAGCTGGGCTGAATTTTTCAGAGAACATTTTTGAAGTGTGAGAAAGACAGCCGTATCGGCCTTCAGGGCAGAGCCTGGTGCAGATTCCTATTTTTTTTTTTTTTCCCCATTGCTTTTACTTTGTTAGAGGAAAGCGTGCGCAAAAAAAAAATTCAAACACAGACAGCAACCACGATGTCGCGAGATGATTTGATTCCCCTGCTCCCATTAAACCCCCCAGGAGGGCTCCCCCTTGCCACACATGGACGTGTCCGGAGACGCCCGAATCCTGCCTGATGCCGGGCGCATCCTCCCCTCCTCGCTCTCCGGTACCCAGAGCCTCTCCATGATGCAAAGCAGACGGAGCCAGGCATCACGGGCGTCAGGGTGTCCCCGGCCACGGACAGCAGTGGCAAGGGGGTGCCCAGCTGCCAGGTGGGTTTCTGGAGTGCCTCTCTCCAGGATGAGCACTTGCTTTTCATTTAGCTTCCATGTGCCTGGAAGCTCTGCTAAGGCACATGGAGGACAGGGAGGTGATTCGAGACAGCCAGCATGGCTTCACCAAGGGCAAGTCCTGCCTGACCAACCTAGTGGCCTTCTGTGATGGAGTGACTACCTCAGTGGACACGGGAAGGGCTACAGATGTCGTCTGTCTGGACCTCTGTAAGGCCTCTGACAGGGTCCCCCACAACATCCTTCTCTCTAAACTGGAGAGGTATGGATCTGATGGATAGACTATTCGGTGGACAAGGAATTGGTTAGATGGGCACATCCAGAGAGTAGTGGTCAATGGCTCAATGTTTGGATGGAGACCAGTGATAAGTGGTGTCCCTCAGGGGTCCATACTGGGACTAGTACTGTTTAATATCTTCATGAGTGACATAGACGGTGGAATCGAGTGCACCCTCAGCAAGTTTGCAGATGACACCAAGCTGAGCGGTGCAGTC